TCACAAAGCATCAACAACTGGAATCTCACCCTACTGAAAACCTTTTGTATAACAAGAGAAACCACTAACAGAGTAGAGACAACCCACAGTACGGCTGAAAATGTTTGTCAGCTGTACCTCAGACAAAGGATTACTATTGAAAACATCCAAACAACTAAAAAATTCAGTTCTCCCAGATTTAAAGACCCAACCCAAAACCAGGCATCTGAGATGAATACACACTTTTCACATGAAGAAATACAAACAGCAAACAAATATGTGAAAAAATGTTCACCATCATTGGTCATTTGAGAGATACAAATTAAAACATCATCGAGATTCCACCTCACCCCAGAAAGAATGGCTAATATTAAGAAATCAAACAATAACAAACGCTGGAGGGGTTGTGGGGAGAAAGGAACCCTTTTCCACTGTTGGTGGGCATGTAGACTGATGTAACCACTGTGGTAATGAGTGTGGAGATTCCTTGAAAACCTAGAAGTAGAGGTCCCATTCGACCCAGCTAATCCGTTCTGGGTATCTTCCCAAAAGAATCAAAAACATCATACCACAACAATATATGTGCCCCTATATTTATAGCAGCACAGTTTGTAACACCCAGATTTTAGAAACAACCTAAATGCCCAATAACTGAGGAATGGATAAAACAGAGGTGGTGTTTTTATACAATGAAGTACTACTCAGTTGTAAAGAAGGATAAACTGGAGACTTGTATAGGTAATTGGATGCAACTTGAGAACATACTCATTAGTGAAATAAATAAGACACACGTGTAAATATTGTATTGTTTCTTTAGAAGCTGAAAGAAAAAGCATGTACATATGTATGTATATGTATATAAAAAATAGTTAAGATAGTTAATTCTACTAAGTTCTCTGAGTTTATTGAGGAGAAAGATTTGTGCTTATATTGTTCTGACAATTGAACGCATTTGTCTTGTGCTCTGGGTGAATGATTTGGGTATGACAATGTGCAATGTATATACCATTGCTGCCCCTTGACTGATGTGCTTTGAAATTTTGTTGTAGTTTTTTTTTAATTCTTGAAATAAAATGGATTTGGAAAAGAAGTCTATAATAAGGTGGTGCATGGACCAAGCCTACAGTCTTAGCTATCTTGGAGGCTGAGACAGGAGGATCACACCTTTGAAGCTAGCCTAAGCAACTTTAGACATTTCAAAATAAAAAGGGCTGGGGCTGGGGATTTAGCTCAGCGGCATAAGCGCCTGTCTTGCAAGCAGGCAGTCATGAGTTCAATCCCTGGTACTGATAAAAAGGAAAAAGACAAAATAAAATAAAATAAAATAAAAAAGGCTGAGGATATAGCTCGGTAATAGAGCCCTCACCTAGCATGTGTGAGGCCCTGGTTCAATTTTCTATACTGTAAAAAATAAGTCTTTAAAAAAATTAATTTAAAGGAAAAACTATTTTAAGTCTATTTTCATATATATGCACATAATAAAGTATATTTCAATAAAATAAAAGCAATACAAGGCAGAAAAAAGAAAGAGTCTCAATTTTTTTTTTTTTTTTTTTTTTGTACCAGGAATTGAGTTCAGGACTTTGCCATGCAGGCACTGTGTCAGTGAGGTTTATCCCCAGCCAAGATTCTTATTTTTGAAATCAGTGTCAATGGAACAGGCTTGGATAACCCTAACATTGTTTTTAGGACAAAAACTTAAAAACTGTTTGGTGCAAGGGACATTGCTTCATGCAGTTATTATATCACAAAATTAAAGTCACTATAATTAGAAAATACAGTTTCTGCTACACAAAGAACAGAAAGTATAAAACTGCTGCTGGGGCTTAGTGGTTCTGAATGTCCACTCACACACAACCACCTTGGGTTTACTCTGGAGCAAAGGAAAAAGGGAGCTGGACAGCTCTGCCCTAGAGGTGCTCAAAGCCTGGTACAGAAACAGGCAGGTAAACACGACAGGGACAGGACCTGAGAACAGTACTGGCACAGGCTCTCTGGGAGTGAGAAGGGTCTGTAACCTCACTTTAGGGAAGATGCACTTCCGTGAGGCTTACACACCAGCTCGCATCAGCTCAGGAGGCTGGGAAACAGGAGCACTGGTCGAGGGAACTCTGATGTCCTTGATCACAAATGCCCTGACCAGATTCAACAAGACGCTTGGTCTCCCCTGGTGACCCAGCAGCATTATGTCTGGGCCAAGTTTTACTGCATCTGTTCTTTATGACGATCTAACCACAGAGCTCTTAGGATCTGAAGTCAACAGATGCCAGGCTTTGTTCCCTCTCCATACCTTCCCTAAAAGATAAAACACCATGAAACCTAGTCATTATGGATAATACCATTCTCCCTCCTAACTAAAAATGAAGTACATATATAATGAATTTTTTAAAAAGTGAACTAGTGCAGAGTGTTTACACAGAGGTGGCCGCCAACAATCCAAATGATGCTAATGACTCGAAGGGCGCATCCCACCTCACCCATTGCTGTCGCCCCTGCAGATCTTTGTTAACTACACTGGAAGGTCCCACTCATCAAAACACCTCTCCAAAGGAGCTCCAACTTTCAAACATTCCCCTATGATTCATCATGCATGGTAATCTTTCTATGTAAGAAAAAGTCACACTATTTTCCTGCCCAAAATTATCAGCTCAAACTGCCTCCTTGCTGCTCCCTGAATGCATCCGACATGGTGAGACTACGCTCTTCACACCACATTCCGCCCCACACATGTGCACCTGCAGCTCCTTTGAGGTCTGCTCAGATGTCACCATCTCAGTAAGGATAAGGCGTCAATGCTCTGACCATTTTATTTAAAACCGCACCCCATCACAAACTCCTCACTTACCCACTCAAATCTCCCTTACCTTTTTCTCTTAAAACTATCATCTTTTAGGATACTGTAAACATTGAATTCATCTCTCTCCTGTTTCTAGAATAAAAGCATTATGAGAGCAATCTTCAAGATTTTGTTCACTAAGTTTCCCCAGATGCCTAGATAACTGTCTGACACATAAAGGGGGCTCAGTGACTTGTCTCCTAAATGAACGAATGAAACAAATCCAAACTCCTTTCTACTTATTACCAGTAACCCACCCCACCTGCTGTCACAGAGGACAAAGGGCTTCCTAAATATGTTCCCATATCTTGTCTCTCATCTCTTCTGACAGTTAGTCAGCACTTCTTTTTTACTGTTTAGACTCTGTTCTCATTCAAACAACTGATTCTTTCCCACAGGTAGAATTTTTTGGCCCCTCTCTTGACCTCAGAGCTGCCTCTAATGATATGCTTCTGCATGAGACTGTTCACCTCTGCTGTCAGCCAGGGTGCCAGTCATGTCACTCACTCCTCAGTTTTGCACTCTCCTGAGGACTATGCTTACAGAAGGGAAACTACTGACAAAGGGAAATTTTGACCTAAAAAGTCCCACTCTAGGGGCCAATGTCCTGTTCTGTCCTTCATCGCTGACAGACATCTGCAGTTTGTGTTAGGTAAGTCAAGAGAACCATCAAATGATTCCAGGGCAATGTAACTGAGTCAAAGTACTTTAAAAAACAAGGCTATAAATGTGAAGTTTAATGTGGTCCCTAAAATTCATCATTCAAAATACATATCCACTTTCACCACTAAAAACAGCAATCATCCTTCTGAAAGGATCGTTTCCCCAGATGAAGTATTGAATCATCCCAACTCTCACAGCCTTCGGAGGGAACATTTTAAAGTGTATAAGGTGAAAATGACGGTAATTTGCTCTGGCTCTCCTCAAACCAACTATCTTCCTCTAGTATTACTTGCTTTATTCCTTTAGGTTCACTTTTATAAAACAGGTAGTTTAAAAATTATATAGATATATATATGTACACTATATGTTGTGTATGCTAAATTTGTTAACTGCTTTTAGATATTACTATTTTATCAGGACTGATCTCGATTATATCATACACCTAGCAATTATGACGTTTAATTTTTTCTTAATTCTAAAGAGAATATGGGTACGAAAATTTAGGTCAGCAGCATAAGCACTTGCATGGCAAGCGTGAGGTTGTGAGTTTGATCTCCAGTACCAAAAACAGAACAAACAAACAACAACAACAAAAACCAAAGAGAATATGGATTAAAAGATCCGGATAACCCATGGGTTTTATATTTTCAATGAAATACTTCATGTAAATCAATGGATGATCTCAGATCTTCCGTATAAAAATGTCCCCAGGGCCACAAAAATGAATAGGCTCAAAAATCAGTCAAAGACGAAGGCTGGACTTCTGGAGCTGTGCACTTGTTTAACTTCGTTAAAGCAGAAAAGGACTAGGAGGCTGAGGCAGGAGGATCACAGTTCAAATCCCACCTGGGCAACTTAAATGAGACCTTGTCTCAAAAAGAGCTGAGGATGCAGCTCAGTGCGAAGGCTGTGGGTTCAATTCCCAGTACAAAAACAACAACAAAATACCCTAGCAGAAAAGGACACGAAAAGCTCTGGACAAGTTAGTCCTGGTTTGTTTGTTTGTTTGTTATTGTTGGCCAAGAAAACCCATATCAGCCTCCTCCTAAGCATATTCTGACCAACTTTTGAATTCTAAGGTCTTTTACTGGCTGTTGGCCCCAAGCTGTAACTCCTCCCTCCAAACTCATTCTCATTCACTTTCTCCTCTAAGTGTTCTATCTTGTCACATACACATATACACTCTCTCTCTCTCTCTCTCTCTCTCTCTCTCTCTCTCTCTCCATTGTCAAGAGTTCTTCAAATAAGTGGCCCCGCATTCGGAACTCCGCACTGACACTTCCAACACATTCTACCTTAGCTGCTCTCCTAAGATCACACTGCCCTGTTGCGGTCTACTCCCATGTAACCCCCTACCCACTTTGGGAATCCTGCACGGCCCAGCTCTGGACACGCTGTGGTTTCACGTGGTAGGGAGCCTCCGAGGGTGCAACTGAGTCAAGACCGGGTATCTCAAGGAGAAGCACAGTAACTGTCCCCAACAGGTCCCGGGGCTTCGGCAGGATCCAAACGCGCGGCTCACCTGGGGCGCGGCGGGGGGCGGCCTGGGAGCCATTCCTGCCTCGCGGGGAGGCTCCGGGGCAGGGACTGCGGAGAAAGGAGAGGGCGCTCACTGGGCTGCGACAGCCGCCCCCTCCGCCACTGTGCAGCTAGAGGATGGGAAGGAGCGCGGGCCCCGCCCCTTCCCGCAGCTCCCGCTCGCCCAAAGGCGAACCTCCCGCGGCGCGGGACGACCCCTCCGGCCACGCCCAGTCCCATCCGCTGGCGGTGGGCGAGGCCCCCAAACCCGCGAGGTGCCGCGCCAGCCCGTGCGCACTCTAGAATCACCGCCTCCAGGGGGTTCCGGATTTGCGACCTCGAGCCCACCCAGGCCCTCGGGTTGGCCCCTCCCGCCCCGGCTGCACGTTTTCTTCCCTTCCGTTCTTTTCAGTCGAGAGGCCAGGTGCCCAAAGCGGTCTCCGCCGCAACGGGGGGCAGACAATGGCCGCAGTGGTGGGGCAAAGCCAGAAGTGCGCCTGCGCATGCGGAGCTTCACGCCAGCACATCCCAAAACACGCCGCGCGGGGGAACTACACTACCCAGAGTCCATCGCGCGTGAGCCCCTATACCGGCTGCCTCCGGGGGCACCGCGGTGAGTTTGAGGAAGGCTGGCAGCATGGTTTGAATCTGTTTAATAACTGAGTGCCTCGTGTGAGCCAGGATCATACTGCTAGGGGTGGGATACAAATGTGGGTTGGCATAGGTGCCAGTGGACAAAGCAGATGACAAAAACTGTAAATATAGCAAAAAGATAATTGTAGGTCTTGACTTCAGCTACAAGAATGAGACGAAATGGGACATTTCGTGGGTCATTACCAAAGGTTTGGGTACCCTTGAGAGTCCCGAACTGTATTTATTATAACCACTATACTCTATGAAATACTTAATATTAATGCAGAGAAAAGGAAACAAAAATACGAGATCTGAAAAGTGACCAAACCAAATTGCTACTACCATGTTATTTCATTTCTTGGTGTCCCATTGCTCAGGATTTAGTGCTTGGAATAAAGCCATAAATAATAGATAATTTCAAAACAAAGATAGGTGAACTTTTCAATACAACTATTAGATTTTTGGATCACAAAAATCAATTTAAATTTCCTAAACTTGGAGAAAGAGGAGAAACAGGAAGCTAAGGACCTGATAAGTTACTTATTGCCCAGGCTTTTTTATCTTGAGACAAGATCTTGCTAAGGTCCAAGCTGGCCTCAAACTTGTAATTTTCCTGCCTCAGCCTCTCAGAGTGCTGGAATTACAAGCATGTGCCACCATGTGGGTCCTTAGACTTGAATTCTTAACCCTTAGAGTATCACATACTCAAAATGTAGAAAATGATTGTAACTAAGTGTACCTGGCATTGCATTGCTTTAATGACTTCTGTGTGTAGTGGTGCATGTCTGTAATCCTACCTACTGGAGAGGCCTAGGCAGAAAGATTGCAAATTTGAGACCAACCTGGACCTCAGCAAGATCTTGTCTCAAAATAAAAAAGGCTAGCTTTGTAGTTCCCCAAGCACCCTCAAGAGCAGTGGTGAAGGGCAGGCCATGCCAGGAAAATAGACCAAGATCTGTCTTTTAGGAGCTGACAGAAACCTTAGGGTTTTGTAGAAAAGAAGAACAAAGGCAAGGACTGGGGGTTGCATAGCTGGCTAGTCAGGCTGTGACCTGGTTGATGATTATCTCAGGTCTACCTCTTTGAAATGACAGCTTCTACTTGGGTGGGTGGGCAGGGCTAATCCATGAATGGTTTGCAAGGCTCTGCTTTTCCTGAAATTCAAAATGACTATAGATTTTGGACAATGACTGGTGACTTTGAGGCATTCCTCTAAGGAATCTAAAATTGGACATTAAACCAGGCGTGGTGGCACATGGCTGTAATCACAGCACTCTGGAGGCTGAAACAGGAGGATTGCAATGAGTTCAAGGCCAGCTTGGGCTACAGTGTGAATTCAAGGTCAACTGAATTACAGAATAAAACCCTATCTCAATAATAATATTAATAATAAATAAAATTGGACATTGTAAAAGCTATCTCTTGGATATCCTTCCACATACTGAAAATTACTTTATTCTTGGTGCCCTAAGACTTGAAGGAGGATGCAATAGGGTAGGTAAATTTGGGGTTGGTAAAGATTATACAAATAATCTTTTAGATAGACAATTCTCCAGTGATGAACATGCCTACACGCAGCTGAACAGGGCTCTGACCCAAAGTTTTGAGGTAATAAAGGAGACAGATATAAAATGAATACAGTGATGCCAAGCTTTATTGTGCTTTCAGTTATCCATTGGGCCTCTGCAGGTCCAGCCACTAGATTCCTGTTGCAATGCCTTGTTGGTTTTCATGAGATGCAAAATGAGATGCAATGGATGAAAAGAAAACAAGGGAGAGACAAAGTTATGGGATCAAGGGGCTACAGTCTCTAGGACTGAAGCCTCGGTTACAATTTTTTCTGACTTTTTATTAGTCTTTTTTTTTTTTTCAAAGAGCAGAAGCGGGATGTGGGAAGGGCGAAGTATAGAGAGGTGAAAACTCTTTCACCTGAAAGAGTTTAACTATTCCAGTGACCATATTTGGTTCTACCTGGCTTTCAGGGAGTTGATATCCACAAGCTCACTGCTGCGCCGCCACAGACGAGTACAAAACCAAAGGACCTACGCTAACCAGCCTCCCAGCCAATCAAAAGCCATGCATTTCGTTGTTTCTATGACAACAGTCTAGGCTCCTGAAAACAACCAGGCCAGTCCAGTACAGGCTGGTCCCGGGACAACTGGCTGGCGCGGAAGTAAGTGGCGCCTTACTAAGTGGTACCTGAAAAAGCGTCTTCCCACCCATAATGGTGCACAAAAGGCCGCCCCTCTGCTCGGGGGAAGGAAGATGCAGGCCGCAGCGGAGACTTGTCCCATCCAGGGGGAGCTCGATGGGCCCCTCTTTAAAATCAAATACTTTCCCTGTCAATGGGATCTTCAGTTCCACGCTCAGTCCGCGGTGTATCCAGACTTCCTGCTGTGCCTCCTCCATAACACGGGAACATCCAAGTTCCAGTCACCTGACACGTTCTTGAAATGTCCCGCCTTCTGGTTTCCACTAAAATCTGAGAGAGGAGATGCAGCCTGAAGAGTTGAGCTTGCACAGATCCAAACCTGCGACTTCCGGAGCAATGGGGAACCTAGGTCGCCGAGCGTTTTCTGCACAGCTGGGCCAGGACACACCTAAGGCGCTGATTGGGACCTCGCAGCTTCACTCCTTTTCCGCGAGGTCTGACGCCAAACTGCGAGCCCGCTCCGCTTCGTGTTGGTGCACGCCAGTCTCAGCGCCGGGTTCCTGTGCCTCCCTTAAGACCAGGCGCCTGCTTCGTCTGCACCGTTTTTAGGATATGTTCTCCAGGCTGTTGGGCTCGAGCGCCACCTGGTGGTTACTGCTACCCACGACTCTTCTATGCTGTTCACGTAACAATAATGCGAATTTGACAGTTTCTACTTGCTAGGACTAAATCAGGTTATTTTTTTTTTTTTTTGTCTTTTTTATCGGTACCAGGGATCGAACTCACGACTGCCTGCTTTCAAGGTAGGCGCTTATGCCGCTGAGCTAAATCCCCAGCCCCAGGTTATACTTTTAATATACACTATCTCAAGTTAATTTAACAACATGTGACATATTTTCATCTCCACCTTACCTGTGATGAATCAGTTTCGTAGAATAAAAAACTTGCCACGACCATTTAGTTACCTAGTGTCATACCTAAGGATCTAAGTGGCTTCTATGCTGTGCACTCTCCGAGGTCACAGCCTCTGACATTCGGCCTGCCTCTGACCCTGGAGACCAGCACAGTTATTCTCCAGGGAACTCATCTACTTGCCTAGCAGGCTCCCAGCAAAAACCTAGCAGGCTCTGAGACTAATCTGATGATCAACACCTTGTATGCTGGTTACCACAAGGACACCTTAAACTCTACCAGCAAATTCTTTCCTTACTCCCAATAGATTCACAGACCAAGTTTTCATTAATTAATATGCACATTTACTCATTTTATATATTATAATATGTATCTCTTTTTTCTCCTCCCTTTGTCAAACATCCCATTCCTCATGTCAGAATAGCACATCCCTTTTTGGGGGGGAGATATTCTCTCCTGTGCAGTTCTACTAAAGTGACAGTCACAGCCTTCCAAATGACTCACACCAGGCCAATAGATCTTTCGCCTGGGTGTTTTATGCAGCTATTGGAAGAATGTGGTTGCCTTTTCCCTTGAGTTGTAACAGAGCTGTGAGAATTTGAGGCCAGCACATGGGACCCCAGGCTGCTGGCTAAAGGACAGCAAAGAAAAGAAAAAATGGGAAAATTGCAGGGAGAGAGAGAGACAGACAGACAGACAGAGACAGATAGAGACAGAACATCTGTGCTGGTCCTGAGTTAGCTGGCCTTATGAGTAGCTCTAGTCCTGCATTTCCATGGTTTAATTGCTGATGGTAATAACTTCCGCCTTTTTGTCTTAGATTATCTTAAAATAGGCTCTCTCACCATTGCAACCAAGCAGTCTTGGATAATAGTCGCATTATACTCCTCTAAACCAAAAATATTTGAAACAGAAGAAAACTCGCTCACTGATACAGTCATAACTAAATTTTTGTTTAACTATAAACTCACAAGAAGTTGCAAAAATAATATGCTGTGGTCCTGGGTATCCATCCAGGTGCCCCCAATGCAGCATTTTACATGAACTCTAGCATACTATCCAGACCAAGAAACTGATACCGGCACAACACACTCAACTAGTTCACAGATCTTGCTTGGATTTTTATCTTTTGTGCATAATCTTTTTTTGGTATGTATTTTTCTCAGATTGAGAATTGGACTCAGGGTCTTTCCACTGAGCTACATGTCCAGTCCTGTTTATTATTTTTTATGAAACAGGACCTCACTTATACTCCAGGTTGCCCAGTTGGGGCTCAAATTTGCAGTCTTCTGCCTCAGCCTAACAGAGTCCTGGAATTACAGGTGTGTGCCACCTCCCCCAGTCTTTTGTGTATCCTTATGGATAATTCCTTGACACCTTGTCACATGTATGTATTCATAAAACCATTATTCCTTTTCGGTGTTCAGTAATGAGTGTGAAGATCAAATTCAGGCCTTGTACATGCTAGGCAAATGCTCCACTGCTGAGCTATACTGGCAGCCTCATCTTTACATTTGATACAGAATTCTTGGGGCTGGGGATTTAGCTCAGCGGCATAAGTGCCTGCCTTGCAAGCAGGCAGTCGTGAATTCGGTCCCCGGTACCAATAAAAAGGAAAAAGACCAAAAAAAAAAAAAATTCTTATCACCATGAAGATAATTCCTCATGTGACTCTATAGTCATACATTCCCTGCTTCCTTCTCTGACCCCATGATCTATTTTCCACTTCTGTATTTTTATCATTTCTAGAATATTAAATAAATGAAATCACACACAGTACATGTGTGAGCTTTTTTTTTTTTTTTTTTTTTTTTTGAGGCGGTCATGGTATAGGTCAGGCTGGCGTCAAACTCATGGCAATCCTCCTGCCACAGTAAGCTTTGGAAATACCTAAGTCGTCATGTGTATCAATAGTTGATTCCTTTATATCACCAGCCATTGTTCTGTTGTGTTTAATACAGTTGCATAAATGGAAACTGTACCACTGTCTGCCATTAACTCAGTCTAATTGACTCATTGTGTGAGGGTAGATACTGACAAAACTAGACATATTATCCATCCAGTCCCACACACGGTGAGTCATAAATGTCTGGAGCCTTGTCACAGACTTCCTATGACAATGTTCAAGAAGGTTTGACCCTGCCAGCCACCCTTAAGACCAACCGTATTCTCTCAAGCCTTTCAAGCCCCAGAATGTGTTTTGCATTTGAACAAAAGTTCTCCGAGCAGCCGAGCAGCCGAGCAGCCGAAGCTCTCTGGATCTCTGCTGCCTCCAATGGTGTTCTCCTCCCTCCCTCCTGGGCCAGCCCCAGGGCTCCACACACACTTACTCCATCCCAGCTAAGGCTCCTCTGCCCAGCTAACGGATCGCCTCGGGGGCAGAGCAGTCCCTGCAGGTAAAAAGGACCAAGGTGCAGAAGCTTTGTTTGAGTTTTGGCTCCGCAGTCCAGCTGTCCCACAGAGCCCCCTGCTAGCAGTGGTTAATTGATGGAATGGGCCAGGAACACCCCAGCATCTCTTCTTGGCCTGGACCCCATGGCCTGGCTTACTTTATCCCAGACTCTTCACATGGGCTAGGAGTCAGGGGTGATGCCTACTCAGGGAAGGCTTTCCCAGAGTCCTCTGTGCTCTTGAGATGAGGATGTTCAATGACCTTGGGACACGGTTGGTTGTGTCTGACAGTTGATTCCACCTACCCCTCCCGCACACTAATTGGAATCTCAAACGTGCAGCCAAGCCGACCGCTCTGCTTGGGAATAACCCAAACACACGATAGAGGAAGGCAGAGAAAAAGTGAGGGGCTAGACACAAACACTATTTTCTCATGTTATATTTATTGAATTAATTGGGTTGGGTTTGGTTTTGAAATGAGGTTCCCCAATACTTCCCAGTCTGCTCTCAAACTCATGGCTTCAAACGATTCTCTCCCTGCCTCCACCTCCAAGTAGCTGGGAGTATAAGTGTGTGCCACCATGCTCAGCCATTATATCTTGAGTTTTAAAATAAACTGCAAGTTAAGTACTGTGCAAATATTCTGAGGTAGTTTTTGTTTATGACCAATGTTCCCCAACGTTACAATTGCATATGAAACCCGAGGGACAGAATCTGCCCAAGGCTTGGTAGAGACACGTCTGCCTGCTACACGGGCTTGAGCCCAGAAGGGTATTTCCCACTCATGTCCCCAGTAAATGGGGGCTGAGTTAACTGAGATCAGGGCTTCACTTTATTATAAAGAGTAATGGGTTTTGAAATTAGACCCACTTCTTTGTTTTATAGAGGAAATAAAAGCCCAGAGAGGGGAAGACTAGTTGGGAGAGGATTATGGGAGAGGATTATGGAACAGGAAGAAGAAGATGCATGTGATCAGTGAATGGGGTTCCTCAGTTACACTGTAGCACCATATCAGGTAGAGGCTGGTACTTAAAACAGTTTAAAGAAAAATAAAAACACACACACATACTTTGCTAGAGTGGCCTTTGATCATTTGCATAGCTTTCCTTTTTTCTTTCCCACTTTCTCTTCAGCTCTGTTTCCAGTTCTGCTGCTGTGTGGTCTGCAGGCGTCTTTCCCTTTCTGACCTTCCATTTCATCTGTGTAAGGACCGCGCTGGCGCGGCTGATGCAAATCCCCGTTTTATCTTTCTCCTCCAAGGGCTCGGTGTGACCCACGTGGAGGTAAGGAAACATGAAAGTCATCTGGCCCCTTTGTCTCTGCGTGGGCTTTTGTCGTGGGATAACAAACGTGCCTGGAGCTGACAGGCTCCGTCCTTCCAGAGACCCCGAGGCCAGACCTGGAGCGTTCTCTGTAGCTCCCTGCCGCTGCCGAGGGAAACACCGCCGCTGCTCAGCGGTTCCCATGGCGACCTGCCGGCGGGTGTAGGCTCTGTTGCCCCCTGGCGGACATTTTGGGGACCTGCAATTCTCTTCTCCCCTTGCCTAGAGAAGTGATTCACACACCAGATCTGGGTCCTTTAACCATTTGTCACTGAGCTGAGCCCTGGCTTCAGTTTCCTTTTGCTCCACCTTTCCCGCTGTTTTGCCCCTCCTCCCGAGCCCAGGTTTCTCTGGCTTTGTCGCCCAGGTTTAGGAGCCCTGAGCGTCCACCCCTTTCATCCTGTGGGGAATTAAGAAGGGTTGTCACCCAGGGCACTTCCAGAGTCCCTCTACACAGCACAAAAACCGAAAGTGCTGTGGACTAGCACTTTTCCCTCAGCTGAATGCCCCTGGTAACCCTTGAGTCAAACCTGAGTTCAGAGCTTGTTCTCCATATGACCTGCTCCTCTTCGGGATGAGACCCTTAGACAGGGCAGCACCACCAGCATCCAGTGTGTGCAGGGTGGGGAGCGCCTCTCCAGAGCTGGGCAGGCAAACAGAGCAGCCGGCCTGCCATGGGGCTGTGCCAGGTGGGGTGCAGAGGGTCCTGGAAACAGCACGTGGTGATGGGGATCCACCTTAGCCTGGAGGAAATAATGCCTGTTGTCACCAGGGTTCAGGAAAACAATTTAATACAGGACGCACATTTTATACAATTATTTTATATTAATTTGACCCAAAAAGTCAAACACAGAAAAAGTGCAGGAGATCTGTCCACACGCTAAAGACCGAAAGAATCCAGCTGAGGGCCTGGATCCCATGGCAGTGTCCTGCATGAGTCCAGCGGAAGAGCCCATGACAATGACTCGTGTAAGTCTGTTTCACAGATCTGTGCTGGGAAGATCCATAGGTCAGTGTTGGAAGCTAGAAAGTCTCTGCCTGCAGGGTGAAGGACTGTGCCAGCAGGCTGAGGGTTCTGTGCTGGAGCCAGGAAGCAGTGATCCAAATAAGGACCAGGGTGCCCTCGAAAAGTACCACAGCCATCTTCAGCAACAATGAGAACATCCAAGTTCATATCAGGAAAGCAGCTCAACAAGCTCCTCCAGGAGAACCAACACCACCACTTCTTCCTCTCCGGGTCTCCCTTTTATATTGTTGGCAGCAATCCTCAGGTGGGCCATCCACACGCAGCAGCATGCTGATTCAGTTCAGCTGGGTGTTAACCATCAGCCCTCCATCCACCACAGTGCCTGAGCTGAGCCTGACGGGAGGTGTTAGGTGGGTTGAAGGAGGTCTTCTCCAGACGCTGCATTCCTGAGAATGTGATATCTCATTAAGAGATCCCTGTGTCCCCTCCCTGCCCTTTTCCTCCTCTCATCTTGTCCCCTTTCCCCAGCCATTCTCTTCCAGCCCTACAATTGCAAAAAGTATCCCTTTGTTACTTGTGGTCCCATTTACCTGGACAGCTCTTGACTTACTTGCCTTACTGACAATCACCATAATGTCTGCCTTCCTCCATATTTTGTTCCTTTGAAGATCTACAGAGACAAAAACTTTGAGGCCCCTGTGCCAGTGTGACTTAAAAGGGGTCCTGAAAGTGCCAGATCTGGAGGCAAAATGTAAATTCTGCTCCAAGGAGCAGAAGAAGGGGCAGCAGTTGGGAGGAGGCAACGACCCCGGGGAACCTTGAAGTAAGGGTTGCCTGGGGGAGAACCCGGGTTCAAAGGCAGCCCAGGACCCGGCCCCTGAGGGAGGGGTCAGGGCTCTGCAGTTAGAGTGGCTTACAAGGAGACAAATGGTGAACTCGTTTGTCCTTCAGGCTCCGGCTTGATGTTCACCTTTCTAGCACCTTCCCGGACCTCTGTTTTAATTATGCATCTGTTCCATGAACCAGTGAGAGTTAGGCCAGCACGGCCCTGCATTCCAGCCTTCTGATCCTTTATTTGTCCCCTCAGCTGGCCAGGATCTTCTACAAGCTGGCAGAGGACAGGCCGTGGCTTTTTCTTAATCCTCAGGCTTTATCATTTCTCTCCAAATAGATGAATGAGTGGATAGGTGATTGGCTGGACAGCTTCTCCTTGTAAAATCAACAAATGAGGAGCACCCGCTGAACTGGGTTGTCATTCTCTGACTCCCAGACTCCCAGTTCCGTCCCAACACTGTCCCCCAAATATTTGACCATATGTTATTAAAGTGAATTAAAATTTGCTTGAAATAACCACAGACTTCCCCACACCCACCCTTGAGTCTACAATGACCAGATTACATCTCCAGGCACAGAAGTCTGACATTTGGTTGCAAAGTAATTTTCTTCTCATTTCCTTATGTTGCTAAAATATTCTATTTCTCTTCACTTCCCCTTTGTGTCCCCATTACTCACGTTCAGTTAAATTTATCCACTGCCATTTAATCATCTGAGAGAAGCTGGCTGATGTGGATGTTCCTAGGTCCCTGATTTTCCTCCTCAGACCATCTGTCTCCTCCTGGGCCACTCTGAGTACAAAGCCCAGCACCTTCCCCTGGGGCAGTGCTCTTAAGGCCCCCATCTTTGGACCTGGGGTCTTCTCCCCCCACCCCACAACTCAGGCTTCAGGGTTTCCCCTTTCCCACCACATTGAGTGCCCTCCTCTCACCCACCTCCTCCTCTTCTGCTTCCGGGAGTGGGGTTTTCATTTTGCTTCCAGACCCGGTACTTCTGGGGCCTCTTTCATTCAACTGAGGCTCTTTGGGTCTCAAACTTCTCTCAGTAGGTCTTTAAAAGTTCAAAATATCAAGCAGGGCATCCAGTAAATAAGGTGGTTGCTGGGTGCTTTCTTGGAATACTGCCACACCCACCATGCTGGCTGCAACACATCATCTTTCTCATTGATACTCAGAGCACAAAAGGAGGGCTTTCCTCCTCCTGGATCCCATCAGAAGACCAGAAATGCACCCCATGGCATGAGTAGAATCCCAACTTGGCCTCTTGTTGGGAGCCGCCGACACCGGTCGCCTTACTTGGCGGACGTAGGGCCTGTGGGTGGGAGCGGAGCCTGAGCTAGATTGCCCCTCCCATCGAGTGAGTCAAGTTGGCGCCTGCTTCCTGCCCCCTGATTGCGCTGGCGACTTAAACAACCCGCTCTGTAAGATAGTCTGCCTAGCAACAACTGATGTTAGCCAATCAGCCCGCATCGCGCGCTTTGAACTGATTGGCCACTGTCACCCTATAAAAGTGAATGCCTCTCCCGCCACGAGACAGGAAGCACAGAGAGAGATAGAGAAAGTCCACCGGCGAGAAAGGGCTGGTGGCAGAGAGGAGGCCTCGCGGGGCCCACTCGGAGATAAATAAAGGCAAGATTGCACACCGCCAGACTTTGTCGTGTGTCTTTCCTGCCGGCCGGGAGCGACCTCGACAGCCTCTCATTAAGTGTGTCCTTTGGGGACTTTGAACTGCACTTGAGGCTCAGGACTTAGGATTGTTCAGGACAGGGCAGTCAAGGCCCAGCAGCCACAACACCTCTGCCTGAGCCCAGAAAGAAGAACTGTGGGCTGTTGCAGTGTAATGGGCCTTGTGGGCATATTTGGAGAGTTGGTGCTGCGAACAGTCCCCTCTCCAGGCCAGTAGTGTGGGGTGCCCACTCACCTCAAGCCTACAGAAAGAATCTTCTGTGGGACCACTTGGGAAACTCAATCTGTGTCCTTTGAAGCTTTGGAGACACTGTAAACCATGATGACCATGTCAGCCAGCCTTGATGCCAGGAGGCAGGCTGACTAGATGGCTTTGTGGTGCAGCAAGGAGGGTAACCAGGTTGGGCTCTGCCTGCATCTTGAGGTTGTGAGAGCAAAGGATGAATTCATTTCAGGTGCACAAGAGGTGCAGCATGGAGAGATCTTAGAGCCTGTAATGGCATAGATCTAAAGGCCCCAAAGCCTCACGCATTTGCAAGGTGATTGGACTATGGGGGTGCTATAGCTGAGCTGTTAGAAGGTGGGACCTAGTTGGAGGGCAGTCACTCGGGGTGTGACTAAAAGGATCTGTCTCGCTACTCAGCTGCTCCCTCGTCTCTGCTTCCTGGCTGCCATGACATGAGCAGTTTTCCTTCACCTGGTCTTTCCACCTGCTCCTTGGACCCAGCTGACCATATTCTGAAGCATCTGAAACTCGGAGGCAAGATCAACCTCTCCTCCTTTAAGTTGTGGCTGTCAGGTATTGTATCTCAGTGACAAGAAAGACAGAGACAGAGTATAAACAGAACACCTCCTAGGGGAGTAGAAAGACATTAGCAAAAAGAAACTGTAAGTTACTGTTGGACCAGGGGGTAAAGAAAAGTCATAAAGGGACTTGGCTTGAATTGCATGAAGAGTTAAGGAGAAATCTTAAAGGACACCTGGGCATGGCAGTACCTGTAATTGCAGCACTCTGGGAGGCTGAGCAGGCAGATCAAAAGTTTGAGCCCGGGGCTTCTGGGAGAACATGGTGGATAGATAGCAGCAGCTTTGGAGGCTCTCTGAGAAACAGCACTTAAAATCCAGGAATGGTGCCGGGCGAGAAATCCTAAGCAAGGGGAGATATACTTTGCCAACCCAGGAATGAACTAAACTAAGAGAAACCAACTGGAAACGCAATCCCAGTGATATAACAGGAATAGATAAGGCCTCAGCACGGAAGCTGCAATTTGAATTCCCTGCAGCCGCTGCTGCGTCCCAATCAGCACAGCAAGGAGAGAGGTGCGAAAGCTCTGAGAGTGGGAAGTGATGAATGGAGTTGAGAGCGGGACTTGCTGGGAGCCCTGCATCATGAATGGAGTTGAGAGCGGGACTTGCTGGGAGCCCTGCATCGACCTGCGGTGAGTGAGTGGATCCAAGACCCTTCCATAGAGTAGGAGGCTTCAGCAAAGGACATATTGGGACCAGGCAGACTAGCTGGAACAGGCTATTGCAGTGACTTCAGTGACATATTCCCCTCTCAAGCGGGATTGGTGGGGAATGCCTGGCCTGCATGACACCGCTGACTAAGACCCAGTAGGGTAGCCCAAACCAGGTCCCAGCGCCTGGTGGTGCACCCTAGCAGTGAAGCCTTCGGTAGGTTGACCTGGAGGGGCGGGCCCAGCAGAGGCTGCCCAGGTCTGTGTCTCCCTAGTACACTGCAGTGGTCGGGAACACCTAGCCGGTGCAATTCAAACAAACTGTAACTGACAAAGAAAGAAACTGGGCCTCCTATATACACTTGTATAAAAGGAACAAAAATATGGGAAGAGGGAGGAACAAGAAAGGGTCCTTGGCACCCAATCCTGAGAAACATGCAATATCAGTCACGGCACCAATGGATGTAAAGCACTATCTCCAGAGCCTCATAGACGAGTTCAGGAATGAAGTTATTAATGACCTGAAGCAAGATATAAGTAGAATAGTTAAGAAATGCTAAACACCACCCAAGAAAAAACAGATGGTGGAATGGAAGAACAGAAAAAAAGGGAAGAATTGTTTGATAGAGAAAATAGAGAAAACATAGAATACGTGAAGCAGGCTCAAAGAGATTACCAGGAAACTAAAAACTATCGAAAACTAGCATAACAGCTTGAAAGAAACTAAGGATAGATTATCTGAACTGGAGGGCAGATTTGTAATATGGGAGCATGAAATGAAAAACTCCTTAAAAATAACAAAAAAAACAGCAACAGTACAAAGGCTAGATGATGATAAGAGGATCTACAACTTAAGAATTAAGAACATAAAAGAAGAAGGAGGGACACAAACAAATGAACTACAAAGGCTATTCACAGAAATAATCCAGGAGAATTTCTCTAATTTAGCAAATGGTAAAAATACTCAGATATATGAGGCATACAGGACCCCAGCCACCTACAACCCAAACAGAACTACACCCAGGCATATAATAATCAAAATTCCAGAAATCCAATATAAGAACAGAATATTAAAAGCCGTCAGAGACAAGAAACAGATCACTTACAAGGGAACACCCATCAGAATTACAGCATACTTCTTGGCACAAACCATCAAATCACGAAGAGCGTGGGGGGAAATAATTCAAGCTTTGAAAGATAATAACCACCAGCCAAGACTGATATATCCTGCACAACTGTCCCTAGAAATTGATGGAAAAACAAGGCACTTCCAGGATAAAGAGGAACTCGGGGAATTTGCAACCACCAATTCAACTCTACAGAGAATACTGCAGGATATTGTAAAAAAGGAAAATACCAAGATTCCAGAAATAGTGGTAGAAAGGCCACAATGAATGGAGCAGAAAGCGAAATGAAGAAGACAAACTGACAACAAACGACAGAAAAAGAGCTCAACAGAAACGAGGCAGAGAAGATCGGATGGTAGGAATAGCTATTATGGAGAAAACAAAGACATCATAATAGCTAGTGCTGATTCAATATCATCTTGTTTTGAAGTCCCATCAAACTTGTATTCTTCTGTCTCCATCGGTCTTAAAAGGTTGTATCTTATTAGATTTTATTATATATGATAATATAAGTAAAAACTTTTATAGACAAGGAGATTATACAGAAACCATTGTTCATTTTCTGTTAATTGGTCCTAAATACCCTGTAATAATGCCATTCTCTTGAATGGTTTTGTAGTGTCTTGATATGTTTGGTGCTACAGTATACAAAGTTATACTCAAAGATTTCAAGGAAAGAGACAATATGGTAACTATTTTTATGTCAGGATATCTTGTGATGAAACACTATTTTGCTTAAATGGTTATGTTTTGACCTGCGCTGTTCTGTTGTTATGCCCTCTTTTATCTCAATCCCCTTTTTAAAAATTATTTACTTTTTTATTTTTATCTTTTTAATTAAGGGAAAAATACATTAAAAATAGCAGGATACATTATAGTCACCTACTTTGATTTCCTATTAACTTGACTTGAAATCCTGTATTGCCCTCACCATCTTGTTTTGACTGATTTTCCCCTATTCTGCTTTGCTTGACAGTACCAAGTTCGAAAGTATAGGCAAAACTGTGAAGAAAATAAGATTCATTATGACACCTATCCCAGTTGACTATTACCTTCTTTTAAAGTCCTGTAATGTTTCCAATGCTTTGGTTTTATTCCTTACTGTTTTGTTCAATTTTATTATAACTGGAAATTCTTCTTAAAATAGCAAGAGACAATATGGTAACCATTGTTGATCACCTTGTATTTTGTTTTTATCTATTA